CCCGCTGAGCAGGGAGCCCGATGCGGGGCTGGATCCCAGGACCCTGGGATCATGACCTGAGCCGAAGGCAGACGCTTAACCGACTGAGCCACCCAGGCGTCCCACTTCACGGTTATTTTAATTCATTTTTATGTCCCCACTTCCAGTTATTTCCTCCATAAATACCTGGAATGACATAATTTCACAGACGTGTAATAGGAGCAATATGAGCTCTGCTTTTCCTACCTTACTGCCACGTCAGACTGCGTGTTCCTGTTTTGTCACACTCTTCAAAGTAATCATTTTAACGGCCATATAACATTCTGTCAAGTTCCTTTAAACATTTATTTTCCCCAGACTTTGGAATTAGCTCATGTCCATCACAGAAATTTTAAAGAATAGAGAATAGTTTAAAGAAGAAAATTCAATCACTCATAATTCCACCATGCTAACATGGCCTCTGTTGGCCTTTGAGGGCACCTCCTTGTGTTCATTTTACAAACTGCTTTGCAGTTTGTGGAGATTCTACTGAGACTACACTTTTGTTTTAAATAGTGCAGTTACTTGCCACTATTTTACTCAATCATTTCTCTGTTGTTGCTCATTTATTTCCTTTTCTCTGTTACTAGAAATAGGACCATGATGCGTATAATTGGGCCATAATTCCCTATCTGCCTTTATTGTAGACGAAATTTCTAAAGTAGGATTACTGGGCCCAAAGTAACCTCATGATTCTGGTGCCAGATTGGTCTCAGAATGACCGTGTCTGCTTGCCTTCTCACCACAGTGCACCCTGGGACAGCACCAAGTATTAGCATTAAAAAAACAAAACCCCAAACTTGAAGTTTGCTAGGCATAAAAAAGAAGAGGGGAGGAGGGAAGGAGGATTGGATTTGAACACTCTAAGTGTTTATTCACCACTTGTATTTCTTCTTTGGGAAATTAATAGTTTTAAGCTTTTACCTCTTTTGTTGTTGTTGTTTTGGGGATTTTAGTGTTTTTCTTACTGTTTGTGCCCACCATATATTAAAGATGTTTATTTTCTCACTATTTACTCAACAGATTGAGTACTTACTTTTTGCCAGACCTGTGTTGAACTTTGGAGGTACAGCTGTGAACAAGGCCAAAATGATCTTTGCCTTTGTAGAACATACAGTCTAATGTAAAAGACACATTAAAAATGATATGTATAATTATAGTGATGGATGGTATAAAGAAGTGCAGAATGCAGTGAGAATATGTAACAGGAGGACCTAGGCTGGTCTACAGCAGAGTAGCAAGCTCCAGCCCACCATCTGTGTTTGTTTGTTTGTTTGTTTGTTTGTTTAGATACTTGGGGGGTGGGAGGTAGGGTTGGGGGAGGGGCAGAGAGGAGAGAGAGAATCTGAAGCAGGCTTCATGCCCAGCGTCCAGTGCAGGGCTCAATGTCACGTTCCTGAGATCATGATCTGAGCCGAAATCAAGAGTCAGACACTTAGCCGACTGAGCCACCCAGGCACCCCCCACACCATCTATTTTTATTTATTTATTTATTTATTTATTTATTATTTCTTTATCAGAGAGTGCACAAGCAGGGGG